TTAACTTTTTTAGATATTTTGTGGATTTTTTTTTTTTTTAAAGATGAACAAGAACAAAAGATAACTACTATAAACTGCTTTGCTCCAAATATTAATGGTACATATGAAATGTAAGGGACTGGGGGCTCGTTGCTACAGGCTGTTCAGTCTCTGCAGTCGGTGCGAGAGTTTGATTCTCATTGCCGGCAGTAAGTCGGACCTTCAGGGTGAGAGTTGGACTCCACCAGGGCTGCCCGTTGTCACAGATTCTGTTCATAAGTTTTATGGACAGAACTTCTCGTTGCAGCCAGGGGGTGGAGGGAGTCCAGTTCAGTGGCTTCAGGATTCATCTCTGCTCTTTGCAGATGATGTGGTCCTGTTGGTGTCATCATGATCTTCAGCTCTCACTGGAGCGGTTCACAGCCGAGTGTGAAGCAGCTGGGAGGAGAACCAGCACCTCCAGATCTGAGGCCATGGTCCTCAGTCTGAGAAGAGTGGGTTGTTCTCTTCAGGTCGAGGGTGAGGTTCTGCCTCAAGTGGAGGGTTTCTCAGGGTTTTGTTCAGGAGTGAGGGAAGAATGGAGCGTGAGACTGACAGATGGATCGGTGCAGCATCTGCAGTATTCTTGACTTTGTGCCGGTCCATTGGGGTGAAGAGGGAGCAGAGCTGTAAGACAAAGCTCTCTGTTTACCAGTCGGTCTACGTTCCTCCCCTCACCTCTGGTCCTGAACTCTGGTAGAGACTGAAAGAATGAGATCGTGGATCCAGGAGGTTGAAATGAGTTTCCTCTGCAGCTGGACTCTCCCTTAGAGCCAGGGTGAGATGTTCAGTTATCAGGAGAGACTTAGAGTAGAACCACTGCTCCTCCACATCCAGAGGAGACAGTTGAGGTGGTTCATCTGGTAAGGATGCTCCCTGGGCGCCTCCTTAGGGAGGTGCTTTGGGCATGTCTGACTGGGAGGAGACCCTGGGGAAGACCCAGGACACGCTGGAGAGACTGTCTCTCTGTTGGACTGGGAACGCCTTGTAGTCCTCCCAGTAGAGCTGGAAGAGGCTGTGGAGAGAGATATCTGGACCTCCCTGCTCAAGATGTTGGCCCCGAGACCTGATCTAGAACAAGAGGAAGATGATGGATGGATGAATGGATGGATGGATGGATGGATGGATGGATGGATGGATGGATGGATGGATGGATGGATGGATGGATGGATGGAAATATGCATAAATGGGAAGAATGTTTTTTTTTCAGATGCAGTACTCGCCCAAATGATTGTCACAGAAATGCAATAACAGGAAGTTATCTCCATCATCATCGACTCCATTACCGCCCACTCATCACAATAATCATCTTTTTTACGACTTCCTACTATTTACTTAAAAAGCTGCTGTTTTATTGAAGCCATTATAGCCGTGCAGCCATTTTCTCTAATCATTAAACAAAAGGCTTCCAGTATGTTGGACAATATTAAGCGAAGTGTTCTCGTTTTCTTTTGGAGCGTTCATGAACCACGGCTGAGAATGATTTCCTTCTGAAGCAGCAGGCCCGAGGCCCGTTCAGTCGTACGGACCTTTCCAACTAGGAACATAAAACCTTGTTTTATTCTCACGGAGACGATGTGTAACGTGTACATCACATATTCAGAAGATCCAGTTTCTGTTCAGCCTGCGGCAGCTCGGTCACCTTGTAATCCTGAGGTTGTGGGTTCGATTACAGGTTGAGTCAGGCGTAAAACAAGTTTCATGCGAGTTCTCTCGCTGTGGCAACTCCTGCAGCCGAAGGAAACTTTCTATTCAGAACATAGTTTATAATGTCTCCAATCAATAAAGGTTATTGATCAATAATGAAAAAATTATAATAATTTTAGACGTGGGCAGTATTTAGTTAACTTCTTTTGAGTATTTTCCACGTTGAGCTGAACGGCGTCGCTCAGTTATTTTACAGCTTCAGCAGAATTTTACTTTAAAAAACAAGACGTTTGTCTCGCTGGTTGTTTTATTAAAGGCCGTTTGATAAATGTTCAGTTCAGTCCAACAATACAGTATTTTAAATGTTTTAATCCGCCTTTTTTCTGTCTCTTGGTCTTTCTGGCAATCTTCTAAAGTCATGAATGAATAAACAAACAAACAAACAAATAAAAAGCAGCCGTCGTCCAAAGACGAACGTAGAAAGAGCTTCAGAGCTGTAGACCACCGAGTACAGCCGGTCCTCGTTTAAAGCTGATGACGTGAGTCTCACGTGTTCTCACAGTTGTGTTGTGAAGTGACAACAAACTGAGCCACCACAACAACAACAACAACAAAATAAACAGCATATGTTGAAACGTTAGTTATTTGCAGCTCTCCTGCTCCAACTCACTTCTCTTACCCAGTTTTTATAAAAACTCTTAAGTTAGTTTTACTCTCGACTGTCTAAATTTAAACGCATTATTTATTCCACAGTGTGAAAATACTTGTAAAAAATATTCAAGTAAGAATGTTTTAATTAATAAATTAACAAAAAGTGTGTAAACAAAGCAAACCTAAAATATATATAAAAAAAAACATTAAACTACTTCAATTTTTTAAACTTAATACTAAACTGTGTCTATGCTGCGTGGTGGTGCAGAGGTTGGAGAAGGTGGGCCTGTGATCAGAAGGTCGCTGGTTCAACTCCCCATACTAACATCATCAAAATGTGGGCGGGATAGATGAGGCACCCCCCACCTGTCTCCACCCTCCTTTTCCCCACTCTGGGCCCTTGAGCAAGGCACTTGACCCCCACCATCTGCTCCCCGGGTGCGCTGATGGCAGCTCTCTGCCTCACACAGAGGGCTGTGGTAGCTCAGTGTCTGAAGGACAGCCGGTGTAAAAACAACCATCATGAGTCATTTCTCTGAAGAAGGAGCAGCAGAAAGAAGAAGAAGCACAAACAGCTGTTTGTGTGTTCACCAGTTTCAGCTCGTTTTCTGTTTCTTGTGTTCAGAAAGCTGCCACTTGGACGCAGCCTGGTCGCTCGGAGCCACCACGAGAGAAGCTGCGATGATGTGGCGAAGAAGGAGGAAGAGGACTGGGCTTGTCAGCTGTGCACGCTCATCAACCAGCCGGCAGCCGAGCGCTGCGACGCCTGCCTCACTCCAAAACCTGAAGGTGAGTGACACCCTCCGTCCTAACGGGGTGACAGAACAGTCGTGTTAACAAGAAATCAAATCGTGCTCGCTGCTCTGTGGCTGTGGCCAAATACCAGAAGGTGCCGTTTGCCGTTAAAGCTCCGGTGCTGCAAACTGCACCTGACACTGGAGTCAGCTGGGTGGACATCTCGGTGATGAGCGCTCATCTGCTGCAGAACGAGTAACGAGCGTGTCTGTCAGCCGCTCCTTTCTCTCTGGCTGTCTTCAGACGCTTCGCAGCAGCAAACTTTTCTTGGGCAAACATGCCCTGCAGCGAGCAAACTGCAGCCCGACGCCTCGACTCGTATCGACACATTGCTACAGCTCGCCGCCGCGCTTCAGCTGCGTCTGGAGCAGAACATCTGCACGAGCACCAGGACAGATCTTTTAGGGTCTGGATCATTTTTTTACTTTTTCAACTCATGAGTTAAAGTTCTCGTTGTAATTGAGCGCCACTGCAGCTGGCCCCCCGCAACTCTGGAAGTCTGACACAACTGGAAAAAGACTTTCACATTTTCCAGACACGGAAAACTCTGGGAATTATAGAAAAATATTAAAACTGTTAAAACTCTGG